AACAACAACAACATATACAAAATCATATTCCTTGACCTCTCTCTGCAGCTGATAAGGTGAATTATTACTGGATTGTTTTACATTTTGTTAGATTCTAAATTATTCTAGATCTTCATATTCTCTATTAGTATCCCTCCAAACTGCCCCCTGTGATTTTTCCTTTATATTCTTATTAACATTTCTCAAATAACTACACTGACTACAATCTTTTTGCAGATGCCCTTCAAACACACCTCTTTGTTTCCATGACTTTTCTTTCCAGACTTTAAACAATGTATCCCTATTTCAAATTCAATTAACTTCCTCATCTTTGCCCTCTGAGTGCCTCTTTCTAGCATTAAGGGATGTACTATTTGTACAGACTCAAAACATACAACCTTAAGAATCTCAACCTTTGCCAAATCTATTTCTTCCACAGAATCAAAGAATGTGGTATTTCTTTCCTTTATCTCTCCCCTAACTAGTCAAAGCCTGGCCACATGATGCAACTTATCAGTTTTTCCCTCCTCCAGAATACAGCAGTTAAACACAACTTCTTTGCCTGAATTTGGAACATTCCATTCTTTTAGAGTAGTAAGGGGTATGCTAACTATATATTCTTGTAAACAACCTGAAATCCCAAGAATGCTCCAAAATAAAAAAGTTACTGATTATATCCAGCTCAATAATCGTATATATTCTATATTTCAGAGAACATTATTTATTCTTGACACAGCCAAATTAGGAAAACTTCCGATTCCATTTTCATTTATTTTGTTACAGCCAACCTTAAGGCAATGCTTTCAAACCTTTTCCCCAATGTGCCCCAGCACAGTAGAGTGCTATCTATATGCCAAGAATCTTAACACGTAAATCAATGCATGGGCTAAACTGAGAATTTCTCTGAAATGCTGCGTTTTTCTTTAAAAACAATACAAATGTTCGGTCTCCTCCATAAATGTATTTGTGTCTGTTTTGTTATGGAAACTGAATTTTAAATTATCATCAACGAGTAAAACTAACATTCCAGAAGCAGCACTAAGTTTAGCCCGTGGATCTTCCTACCCTCTTAAAGTCCTCCTCCCCGACCCAGACACTGGCACTACAGTTTGAGAAACACTCAAATATGGCTTTAATGTTTTGTAATGAAGACACTACTGTTTGTATTGGACACATACTAGCTTTAAAATGTGAGAATTTTAATAACCTTTTCATAATTTAGAACCCCACGACCTTGCTTTAAATGTTCCTTGTTTCTATTCTGATGCCCAATTACGTACCAGATTTACTTAAAAGTCTACCTCTAGTACCTTTAATAGGGAGCTCTGGTAGCATAGTGGCTAAGACATTTGCCTGCTAACCAGACCGCTGGCGGTTCAAACCCACCAGCCACTCCTCGGAAGGAAGGTTGGGCAATCCTACTTCCGTAGTGATACTGCCTCGGAAACCCAAGGAGGGGTCGCTATGAGTCGGATTTGACTCGAGGGCACATAACAAGTACCTTTAATAAGTACCTCCACACCACTTACTTTCTAATTGCCAAAATGCACCTTGCCTTTTAAATACTCTCTCTGGGTTCATATTCGTATTTTTCCTAGCCCAAACTATTTTTGGACGCCGGTTCCTGCTGTATCTGTCTCCCTTAAAATTAAGTCCTTTTCTCTTGCAGGGGACAGGGCTCAACCCTCAAGAGTCTACACTCCATCATTCGTAAACCGAACGTTACAACAAAGGCGCGGAGCTTCGTAACCAGGAGTCCGGAGTGCCTCCACCCGCTCCGCCGCGGTGCAGGGCAACCAACGCTTTGGTGTCCCTAGAAGCACGAGAGTGAAGCGCCAGCGCCTCATCAGCTGCAAACAACAACAATCCTAATTACAGAGTCTCCTGCACCCCATCATTAGTCTCCACTGAGCCGGTTTCCACTCGGAGAGCCAGCACCTCAAGCCGGGCAAGTTTCCCTCGGACCCTGGGCCAAACCCCCAGGCCGACCTCTATCCCGCCGCGGGTGAAGACGCGGTCCGCACCGCCGTCCCCCGGCTCCGCCCGCCCCAGGCCCCGGATGTGACGGTGTCGCCGCCCTCGGCGCTCGCCCCCCGGGACAAGGATTGGGGCATCCCGGAAAGGCGGCCTGGGGTGGGGGGGTGTCTTCCCACCGACCTGCCGGTCTTGACATACCCAAGTGAGAAGGCTTTCGCACAGCTCCACCCGTTCCACGGACTCCACGTTGAACATCTTCCCCTCCTGGGGCTTGGCTGGGCTTCCCACCTAACCAGAAACCGCTGCTGCTCTGCTCTGGGGCTGAGTCTAGAGGGTCCGGGCAGCTGACCTGGCCTTTAGCCCACCTTCTCCGCGGGTCCTGGCCGCTGACTCTCACCCCTGCGCTGGCAGCGGCTCCCGCACCGTCACCCCCAGGGCCCCTCCTTCTTCTTTCTGTCGGGACCGCGCGCCCGTTGTGCGCGCCCCGGCCACGCCCGCAATCCCGTGTCCCCGCCCCCAATCTCCTGCACCCCGCCTCCCGAGAGCCGCGGCTTTGGCGAGCGCCGCGGCAGCCGACCCACTGCGCACAATCGCGCTCGGTCCGGCTCACACCCCCGCCGCCGCCAGGGCCGAGCGCGTTCTCGACTCTGGCCTCTGGGCGTGTGGTGGCGCGCACGCGCTCGGCCCTGGCGGCGGCAGCGGCGGAGGGGTCCTTCGCCTGTCCGCTCGCGTCCTCACGGAAGCTCGGCAGTGCGCGTGCGCCTGTGCCTGCACCCTAAATTAAAAAAGAGACAGCTAGTGGTTGCACTGGAGGGGTGGCGGGGGTAGTCCCCGGAAATAATCTCTATTCTCAGTCAACGGGAATTGGCGAGGTAGTTCCTCTGCGGTGGAGAGGTACGCGGGCCCCCACCCCCACCCCGCCCTGCAGGCCACGCCCACCCGGGACCCGGGACTGAGAGAATCGCGGACAGCCGGGGCCTCCGGGTGCGCGCTTTTACAGGGGTTCACCTCAGGGTTGTCGAGGCGCTTCGTAGCTGTGGGTGTCACTGCTTTGGACCCCAGGGCTCCGCCTTCCTTTAGCAAACCCGGGCAAAGCCTAGAGTTTCCAGTTCCCGTCCGGAATCACCCAGAGACGGTGGAATGGCAGACGTGGCGGGCGCCTTGGTGGTTCTAAGTGGGCTTGGCCGGTGGTGAGCGGAGCCCACCGTTACCGTGGGGCACTTGGACCCTCTACGTCCTTAAAACTAACTAAAAGTAGGGAACGGGTGTGCGCCAGTGACTAATCCTTAAGGGCTCCCGCCAGTTCCTAGGGCCTTTTTCTCTAGTGCCATGTTTAGAGTTGGCAAAGTGGATCCCTCTCGAGCTCTCTCACCTTTTTTGGAGGAGTGACTCGCTGAAGGATGATCTATACATTTTTATGCGATACAACAGATGCAGAAAAATGTGTCAAACATGCCTGTTTAAAGAAAAATTAATAACCAGATTTAAAAACAAATGCCTGCACTCCAGTTCCCTCGCCCACTCCCGTATTCCTTTCTGCAACGCAATTCCTTCGTTAGCCTGACTTTTATGATCATTTTCTTGCTTTTTTTGCTTTTCTTTATAGCTTTACCCCTTTTATGCGTACCTAAACAGTATAGTTTTACTTTGCCTGTTTTTGAACTTTTATAAATGAAATCGTAATGTCTTATTTTGTGACTTTGAATTAATGTTAAATTTGTGAGTATCTATAGGTAATGTTTATTGCTGTCGGATACTCCCTTGCATGAATGTAACAGGGTATTCACTCTACAGTTGATGGACATTTTGTTATTTTCAGCTTGGAGATATTAGAATAATGTTGTCAACATTGTTGTATCTAGACCTTAGTGCATACTTACAGGAGTTTCTTTAAGGTACATGCCTTGGAGTTCTAGGAGTAGAATTGTTGCATCATAGGGTATATGTAAAAGATAATAAGAAACTTTTATTTGAGAAATAGCTCAGTTAACCTTCCAGAACACATCTTTACTTTGGTTTGCAGTTCCTGGAGTCCCCTTTTCCCATTAAGAATAGGTTTTCTGATTGAGCATCCAATGCCAAGACAGCATTGAGGTTTTAAGGATGCTCTTACGGAGTACCAATTAATTCATACATGATGGACCTTAAAAAGATCTTACCTGAAGTCTTCTCACTGGTCTTTCAAATATATCTCCCTACATCAAGGGCAGGGGGGGGTTAGAAAGAACCTCACTGCTGTGGAGCCAGTTGCAACTCATAGCGACCTTTCCTTGGGTTTCTGAGGCAGTATCTCTGTGGAAGTAAATTGCCCAATCTGCCTTCCTAGAAGTGGCAGAGAACCCTTTAAAACAAAGAGCTCTGATGGCATTGTGCCTAAGGCATTTGACTGCTAACCAGAAGGTTGGCAGTTCAAACCCACCAGCCACTCCAGGGAAGGAAGACTGGGCAATCTACTTCTGTAAAGATTTACCACCTCAGAAACCCAAAGGGGGTCGCTATAAGTCAGAATCCATGACTTGAAGTCTTCTCACTGCTCTTTCAAATATACCTACCTCCCTACATCAAGGGCAGAGAACCCTTTACAGATTATAAATACGTATTTCCCTTTGCTTTGTTTCCTGTGTTACTGCCCCTGGATCTCTGTCAAACCAGAGTTCCTATATCCCTTACGAGATTGTTTCTGTAGAATCCCTATCATAAGTGACTTCTACCATTTACAGCAGCATAAAGTCTTTAAGTATATGTTACATTGACTTAAGCGTGTCTCATGTGCAACTTGTCTTTGGATGTGGACATCAACAAATCGCTAGCCTTTGCTGTAGGTACTGTAGTTAGTAGCACCTTTAACTCCAGCTGCTCAGATTTTCAATTGACCAGAAACCACCTTTTTCCAGCTTGACTGCTTACCCACAACATGTTTGTACATACTATTGCTCTGTTCTTGAAGTTTCATTTTTTAGCTCAAACTACCCTCAGTGAAGGAAATTATTTTAAAAGCTTCTTTGGTGTGAGTAATCATCTGCAGAAGCCATGTGGCCTTCAAGTTTCTACATGAGCTTGGATAAAAAGACACTGAGTTTCTTCTTTGGAAGTTCTGGAATTTGTTGTGTTTCCTTTCTTTTCTCTGCCTTTTTTTTTCTTGTCCCTGAAAGTTTTGGAAAGGACCCAGGAGAGGTGAGTGGTACTTGTTTGAGCTGTGTCCTTGTTCCAGTTTGTTGGAGGCTATTCCTCCACAGCTGTTTTATAAGATTCAGGTAAACACAGTGGTGGTGTTCTGTGTGGCAGTGTGCCCAAGTTTACCCTGTCTTTCTAGGGAACACCACAGCTTTGATTAAAGTTTGAGATGCTACAGACACAGCTATAAGAAAGGCATGGCTAAATTTGGTCAAGGTTCTACTGATTTCTTGACAGTGGTTGATAATAGTCAAAATATAGTTTCTATTTATTGAGAGTGTGTATTGTATTACAAGAAATCTACTAAATGCTTTAGCTTCATTATCTCCTTAGAAATTTTAAGGTAAGACATTTTTTACCAAAAATAGTTGCCGTTTGATATGGTTCAGCCAAGTTTTCAGCATTAGAAAATAGGAGGAAATTTTCTGAGTATATATGAGGAAGCTGAGATCCAGACTTTACATAAGTGCACAGTTGCCTGGCTCCAAAACGTATGCTTCTTTGCTATATTAAGCCTCAATATGACTTAGCCAACTAAGCAATGAAACCAAAGCTATAAGCCAGTTCTGCTTTAGGGTTCTATCATTTGTACCACACAGTTTACAAAATCTATTGTGGGTTTTTGTTTTTTGTAAATCTCAAGCCATTAAAAATAGACAGTAACTCATTTTTCGTATTTGACAGGATCTATAAAGTAGATTCAATTCCATTTTCTATGAATTTAACAACCTTCTTCCTGGATTTCAAGTAAACAGCATTTCCAGGTCCCTACAACATGTTACAGAGCTCTGGTGGTGTAGTGCCTAAGGCACTTGACTGCTAACTAGAAGGCTAGGAGTTCAAACCCACCGGCCGCTCCTTGGAAGAAGACCCGGCAATCTACTTCCATAGAGATACTGCCTTGGAAACCCAAGCAGGGGTCGCTATGAGTAGGATCTGACTTGATGGCAGTGAGTTTGGTTTTCTGGTTTGGTACAACATGTTAAGTCCCAGTCCATTGCTCAAGGGAGTGCAAGGCATAGAGAGGGAGCTTAGCAACTGCAGTTGACAAACTCCTGCTGTAAATGCGGATGTCTCCCATTTTCCCTTCACTTAGGTCTTTTTACCATCCAGAAACTGAGTAACTAGGTAAGAATGGGACTAAAACCAAAACCAAACTCACTGCCATCAAGTAGGATCTGACTCATAGCGACCCCTCCTTGGGTTTCTGAGGCGGTATCACTACAGAAATAGATTGCCCCATCTTCCGAGAAGTGGCTGGTGGGTTTGAACCGCCAGCCTTCTGGTTAGCAGTCAAATGCCTTGGGCACTATGCCACCAGAGTTCCCAAGAATGGGACTAGAGACAAAAATTTTAAATCTTTGAGCATTAAAGCCTAATTTGCATTTATCAAAGGAGAATGTAAGCCTTGGCTTTATTTTGTTTTTTTCATTGTTAAAATACTTGAAAAACATTCAGACTATAGAATTTTACCCTGGGAGAAGTGAGGATCTGGCTCTCCCAATCCTGCTCCTCACTGTAACCACTTTAACTCTTGGTGTTTATTTTTCAGGACTTTTTTCTATTCCAATATTCTGCATCAGAGAACCGTAGTGATGGAAGGAATGTGAGAAACAAACAAGTCCAACTGCTACATTTTATAGAAAAGTAGAGGTCCTGAGACAGTTAAGTGGGATCACAGTTGTGGTGGCAGAAT